TCCAACCATTCTTCGTCGCTCTTTGGTAGGGTGTAACTTCCTTCTGTTCACGAAACTTAATGGGTTGAAACTAGCTAATTTGTTTAGAAGATTCCACGCTTTTCTGCTTGATTTATTGAAGTCAATATCTCTTTTAGCCCATTTCTTCTTATTTTTTGAGTATCCAGCGTCTAAATTAACAAGAAATTCATCGGCAATTTCAGGATCACGCAATTGAAGCAAACGTGGTTTAACTAACTTTATTTTAACTCCAAAAAACTCACTAAATTACATATATCAGAAATTCTAATTACAGTCGCCACCAAATTATATATATTATATATATATATATATATATATATATATATATATATATATAGCACAGCATGCCATACACACAGGACACAAGATAGACTTAAATGGAACAACAATGCTAGCCAACATCGAAAATAAGGCCAAACGTGTAATCAGAGAAGCCATAGAGATCGAAAAACATCCGAAAAATTTAAATAGCAGAGATGATGCCCAAAGACTCCCAAATACGTGGAAACCAAGTCCGCAGAAAAAAGTAGAAATTAAAATAGCGAAGAAGACCCCGCCCACTCTGCGCACAGGACCAATTACAAGAAGTGCTACAAGGTATTTAAACTCAACGTACACGACCGAGAAATCAGTTCTCCTAAAACATCAAGACGAAGCAGAACTAATTTGACTTGACAATGACAAGTGTGACCTTGCCGAAACGTCGTCAAAACAATGGTTTTTCTAAAAACCAAAACTATTTAACACGGAGTCAAACCCGGAAAACAACTGAAATCACATATAGCTCCCACGGAAATTTCAAATCCAATATATATATATATATATATATATATATTATATATATATATATATATATATATAATATATATATATATATATATATATATATAAATATATATATATATATATATATATATATATATATATATATATATAAATATGTATATAAATATATATATATATATATATATATATAAATATGTATATAAATATATATATATATATATATATATATATATATATATATATATACGGGTCTACGAGATACCTTGTTCCAGTTGCCCACGTACATACCTACATCGGACAGACAAATCGACGAATCCATAACCGTATTTACGAACATTCTATATCAGTCATCACATTCAAACAGGCCACAAAATAGACTTCGAAAAAGCAAAAACCATCGCCCCCATCCGCTCCTTAAAATCAAGAATCATTCGTGAAGCCATCGAAATCGAAAAACGGCCTAACAGCTTAAATACGCGCGACGACGCAAAACGATTGCCGCCAACATGGCGACCCCTACTTCAGCGACCTCCCGCCCAACCGTTCAGGCCACGTCAGTTCAGACCACGTCAGCCCATACCGTTCCCGCGCGTACAGCGAGTATAAAAGCAGCGTCACAGGGTAAGACCGGTTGTCACTCGACACTGAGGAGTAGGCAGATTGAGACCTCAGTGCCGAGAGACAGTTCTTGTATTTATAATACAGAACACGATATGGTACGTTTCGAGTGAGGGGAGTAGGCAGATTGAGACCCCGAACTCGAACCGAACAGGTATATATATATATATATATATATATATATATATATATATATATATATATATATACCTGGTATTTAGGCGGCACACGCCCTTCCGGTAGGGATCTATGGAGGAGTATCACCGAGACGCAAGCCCTTATCTCTTGCCGTACTGCTCCACCATAGGCCGATCAGATACCAGCATATTCTAGACTAAGCCGCAGATTCATTTAGAATTTTAAACTGCTGCGTTAGCCTTTTTGTTTTTCTGTACACTGAGCTGGGAATTGAACTGACATCTCTCGCATTGAAGCGAAGGAGAAGCCAGCCGCCCAGCCCGCTTGGCTATCCGATCTACTTAGAATTTATTATCTGCATGTTATTATGAATAGAGACATCCAGATATCTAGATATCTGCATGTTATAATAGAGAATCTATTATAACATGCAGATAATAGAATTTATTATCTGCATGTTATTATGAAGTCGTTTCTATTTGATGGAATTACTAACAAAAGCAGGTAGCAGGAGTAGCGTTGTGTTCATGTGTGACTGGATCATTTGTTTATGGTAGATATCTCTCGAAAATTAACAACACCACTAGTACAAATTAATTTGTAATATGCTTAAGATAAGGTTTTCTGCAATAATTTGTTGACAACTATGAAATAATAATTATCGCATATAGTTCACACTGATATCGCATTGCTTAAAAAAACATTAGGTGGAATTCACACCAAGGCAATGGGCAACAGGCAATACGCGATACGCTACATGCGATATACAATATCGTATCGTGCATTTGTTCTAATCGAAGCAATATATTCATTCGATATACAAAATGTCCGTCGTGAACAACGTCGTAATTTCTTATTACATGTTACGACGAATACGATTAAAAGCAAACAAAAAGAAACGTCGATGTTGGGTGCGACCTTTTCATGTGAGAAGTTTAGTTCATTCAGTGAGTGTGGTTGCTACAGAACTGAGTTTGGACCCTGAAACATTTAAAAGTTTCTACAGGATGAATAAAGAGAATTTCTCAGTTTTGCTGAGACTTGTTTCTCCGATTATCTTCAAGAAAGATACGAATTACAGATTAGCAGTAAGCCCCGAGGAACGTCTGCTAATTACTTTGAGGTAAGTGTAGTTTGGCAAACAATAGGTTCTAATGACTGGATAAGAAAACTTTTATATTTAACTAAAACCAAAAGTATTCTAGTACAAAAATACGATTACAACATAATTTCAAAAGAAAGAAGAATTAGTTTATTATTGCATGTTCCAAGTAGCAAGATATTCAGCTGCCGATACATTAGAAGAGTCGTCGTGACTCCACTGGGAAGATGCCGACGAAGAAGTGGGGCCTGCAAATTGCAGATTTTGTTCTCCTTCCTGCTCCGCCAATATGTTGTCGATTAACTCTAACACTGATCTCTTAAACCTCCGTTTTCTCCTGGAATCCATTTGCATAACATCTGGCAGCAGGCTCTGTAGGAATTCCAAGTCTGCACTGATGGGTTTTTCTGCGTTAGTTTGCCGTTTCATATATTCTATAAAAGATTTATCGCTCATCTGACAAAGAGTCACAGATGCTGCGCGATTCTTTTTCTTTAGTGTATGAACAAAATGTTTAGGACGCAGAGGTAATTTTTGTCTTTCTGCGTGTTCAACAGCACTACCTTCACAGTCTTGTGTATCAGGGGGGTCTTTATTGTCTTCTTCTATGACGGTTGAATCTGTATTATTGGTACTCGTATTAGTTTCTGTCAGTTCTATGGGAGGTTCTGCTACGTCGTTATCATTGTCTCTACTCGGTGAGGGTAGATTACCAGACTGTGGCCTCGACTTTAAAAATGGAAAAAGAAATGACATTACATCGTGTAAATAATATTTTTTCTTTTTGGCTTCAGATCCTGACGGTAGCTTGTTTTGAGCTCGTTTCAGTGCAGTCCGCAGATTCTTCCATTTTTCTTTGCATTCAGTAACTAAAAATAAATACTATGTATTACACATACTTATTTATATTTGCACTGTGAGATATATGATACAACTAAAAAAAATATTGTTTCAGGTATTTGGCAACAGGCAGCAGTTTTGCAGCATTATCACTTGCATTTTTTCGAGGATGCAGTACCATTAGCAACATCATCCACGAAACAACAGCTGCTATTTTTAACTCTTTACAACCTCAATACATGCCAGCTCCAGATGAGACAAAATGGACATCTATAGCAAATAGATACAATGAACTCTGGAATATACCAAACTGCATAGGCGCCATCGACGGAAAGCATATCCGAATAAAGAAATTCCGTAACACAGGATCGCAAAATTACAATTACAAAGATTTTTTTCTGTGGTATTAATGGCAACTGCAGATGCTGATGGAATGTTTGTGACTATTGATGTTGGCGATTACGGCCGAAATTCGATATTCGAAGGATCGGCGGTGACAAAAATATTTTTTCATAATTACTATAATGGCGTTGATAGATCTGTGGTAATTACAACTCTTTGAATTGAAATTCATATGACAATCGTGCCCAATTCATTAGTAGACTTAGCCCAGTTAAGCTTTTTGAAGTTCCATCTTGGTATAGAAGTGGAGTAAATAATTGGAATTGCATAACCTACTTTCAAAATGATGGAGCTATGTAGAGACTTTTAAAAACTTTTGTATAAATTGGAATGGGACGATTATGGGAGTTATCAATGACAAACCATAACTCAGAATTAGTTTAGTCTCAAAGAACTAATTTAAAGGAAATCTTTGTCATCCAATATTAGACTTAGACTATTTACCTTTGACCAAGTGTGAGTTATTATCCGTTGTCATCGATTCTAATATTTTTCTTTGTATCATTGTTGGTCTTCGTTCTGCTCTTGATATTTTGTTCTAATATGATTTTCAAAATACATTTAGTCTTGACTCTGCTCAGTTCTTCAGCGTTAATTTGTAAAATTCGGATGTTTCAACTGAGATTTTTTGTCAAGTGGTCCTGATGAGGACTATTGTTTTTCAATGTTTTTTTCATGTACAATAGTCAGGAGATTAGAGATATTATCTAGCTGCCGATTATTCTAGCTCATTTTCCAGTACCCAGGTGCACATGTAGCGTTTACCACGGGCGGGTGCTAGTTTGCACCTCCTTCAACTAATAATAGAAGCGAAGATCTAAGGTTAGTGGGACAAAAAATATCTTTTTTTTTATATGAACTTCATAACTTAAAAATCTTAGATAATGGACAGAAATGCCAATTAACACCTTGTTAAGATCAAGGGTCAAAAGAAATATCTGGACCAACTATCCGAATTTGATAAGCTCTCAAAGGAGAAGTTGATTCTATATTTTCTATATAGAAGTCTATATTTTCTGTAACTATAGGAGCTTTTTATTGACTTCTTTAAAAAATAAGTTGTTCCTTTATATAATAAAAAATAATAGTCATTCAAATAAACGATGATGTAATATATACATTTATTAAGATCTAAAAACGTTTAATATAGCATTATTTTAATACTTTTTCTTCTTTTCTTCAATGTTATATTAAAATATAACTTTATGTCAAATTATTAAGACTTCATTATGTTACGAATTAATCCAGGTACCTATCAGTTCTCCTATTTGGACTCTAGCTGCCGTTAATTGTGGACTATCATCATGAGATGCTCCTAACATATTGTCGCAGTGGCCAGCACCTGTAAAAAGACGATTAGTCTGAATTAATTGTTTCTAAAGTTAACTAATAGTTAAAACAAAGAAGATAAACAACTAGAACAAAATATACTATATTTACAGTATTAATAGCAAGTAATACCTAATCAAAACGAGTTGATAAACGATTATTTTAGATATTTAATTATTATCTAGGAACACAACTACAATACCGTAGCGAAAAAATAAATAACATCTATTAGCAATTTAAAGATAAATTAAACACCGTCAATTGAGATTAGAAAAGAAGCATTAAAAAATACTCTTGGACTTGATTCCTCAAAAACATGAAACACGGTCCTTAGGCAGAACGAAAATTGTAGATTTTTTTTACGCTTTTTGTATTTAAAAACGCGGGTATGCCAGTGTGGCTCATATGTTTTTAACTACCTCCGTCTTTCTTAGGAGAAACTACTACTAGCTAAACTTTAATTCCACTATTTATAAGAGTGATTCATCGTTTAAAGGCGGAGAACTGGGTAAAGACGTCGGCACTTTCTCGGCAAAAACGAGTTTTACGGCTATCTGTGGGTCGGAATTACTCCGTCGCTAATTCCAAAGTTGCCAAACCATTGAAAAATAATGTTTTAAAATATCGATTTTTATTTTATAAATTTAAATATGTATGTAAAGAAACGGAACATATAAATAAAATTTATTTGATTACAATTTTGTGCTTAAGGCTGTTTTATCGGTGCACCAAAATTTTTTCTCTGTTATTTACCGACAAAATGTCTCGAAATTTGGACATGTTATTCAAAACTATGTTGCCTTTAAAATGATGGTTTTACTTTTTTTATTTTTTTTAATTTTCTGTTGAAAAATTGGATTATACTGTTTAACGTTCTATTATAACCAAACTTTTCACGCCCATCAGTTGAAAGAGTTTTTTTTTCTGTAATCGTTGATTCTTTTTTCACCTTTCTGTGTCCAGTAATAATCGAGAAAAGCGTATTCAAACTTTGAAGAAAATTGCTAAAAAATACTGAAATCTAATAGTGAAACGTGTTCCTCATCATTGTCGCTTAGCTTGATCGTTATCGCATTAGTGACGTCAAATCTCATGAACGTACGGTAGGGTCAGTTAGTTCGCTTGAATCAGAATCCATTTTAGTTCTTTCATTCTTGTATTTTCTTTATCAACTTGCTTAGTTTTTACAGTTTACAGTATTCTTATTTATTTTGAAAACATTGAAATTATTTAGTTTACGGGTATGTTTAAGTAATATATTATTAGTTTAGTGGTATAAGTTAAAAGTTCTTTAGTTTACGCGTATTTTTAAGTATTACATTAGGTTAGTGAATATAAGTTATAAGAGACAAGATAAAAAATGAGTCCCAGTAAACGTCCTAGGTCAAGGAAAAGGAGAGCAATTGCACTACAGTAAGTATTTATTATTTATATATTTACAACCGTTTTTAAAAGCTTTTATTTAACTTATTTAACTTATATTTAACTTTTCTAGTAATAGCTGTCATTCTCAGTCAGTTGAGATTGCCTCTCCGCAAAAACCATCTTTTTCGGTAGAAGGCAGAAGAATAGTGGACATAAACTTTTTCATTAAATCTATTCAAGGTTTGAATAATCATTCTCCATTTTCATGCAACTTTTCTAATATGGAGATTATCAAAGAAAAAATGGACGGATTGATAAGTACGTTGACTGTTAAATGTCAAATGTGCAATATTGAAAAGGAGATAGCAACATAGGATTCTGGTAACAATTCACTGAACTTGAATGGTTCTGGTTATTCAGACATACAGCAGCAGCACGCTGCATTAAATATACCTGTGATGTCCTACAGGCAGTATGCAAAACATACGCGAGACAGTTGCAGATATCATCGGCCAAACACTTTGTGATTCCATAGAAGAGGCTGGACGGGAGGAATTAGCTTTAGCCAAAGAAATTGGTGAAGTAGATTCTGACGGAAATGGGTTAATAACCGTTATAGCTGATGGTGCTTGGTCAAAAAGATCGTATAAAGTAAACTACGATGCTTCTTCAGGTGTAGTACCTGACGTTGTAAAATTTATAATTAGTACGCCTTTAATGGATAGGACATGTAATTAGGCGAGATGAAGATGAAACGATCAGAAAAATTTTCGACCGAAGAGGACCAGTGGGAAGACGATCCAGAGGAAGACCAAAACTTAGGTATCAAGATATCATAGAGGATGATCTAAAATCCATCGGAGTTAGAGCTTGGGGAAGAGGTGCCAAGACAGGGGCGAATGGAAGATTGTTCTGAAGAAGGCTTTGGCTCATGACGAGCTGTAATGCCACTGATGATGATGAAATAACTATCCACGATTTGTGTTTTATTCATAAATTGGATACTTTTCTTATGTAACTGCACTCTATAAATATATTAAAATAATGTATATTCCATTCAGAGTACTTTTTCGTCACAGTGCGTCGCCTCGAAATACTTGCCAGATAAATACATTTACTATTATGATGGTTTCGCAGGTACCAATTTTTTATAGATAAATAAAAATATTTTTTGTTTAATTTTTACTACGCTAATTTCAGTTTTCTCTAACAAATAAATAACTTCTTGAAATAATTTTCAAGCTATAACTGCGACATTGTTTATTTGTTTGTGACATTAAATTGTAATTTTTTTGATAATAATATTCTTAAGGCTGTTTTATCGGTGCACCAAAATTTTTTCTCTGTTATTTACCGACGAAATGTCTCGAAATTTGGACATGTTATACGAAATTATGTTGCCTTTAAACTGATGGTTTTACTTTTTTTATTTTTTTGAATTTTCTGTTGAAAAATTGGATTATACTGTTTAACGTTCTATTATAACCAAACTTTTCACGCCCATCAGTTGAAAGAGTTTTTTTTTCTGTAATCGTTGATTCTTTTTTCACCTTTCTATGTCCAGTAATAATCGAGAAAAGCGTATTCAAACTTTGAAGAAAATTGCTAAAAAATACTGAAATCTAATAGTGAAACGTGTTCCTCATCATTGTCGCTGAGCTTGATCGTTATCGCATTAGTGACGTCAAATCTCATGAGCGTACGGTACGGTCTTATTTTTATTTCTCTATGGGTACGGTCAGTTAGTTCGCTTGAATTAGAATCCATTTTAGTTCTTTCATTCTTGTATTTTCTTTATCAACTTGCTTAGTTTTTACAGTTTACAGTATTCTTATTTATTTTGAAAACATTGAAATTATTTAGTTTACGTGTATGTTAAGTAATATATTATTAGTTTAGTGGTATAAGTTAAAAGTTCTTTAGTTTACGCGTATTTTTAAGTATTACATTAGGTTAGTGATATAAGTTATAAGAGACAAGATAAAAAATGAGTCCCAGTAAACGTCCTATGTCAAGGAAAAGAGCAATTGCACTGCTTTAGTATTTATTATTTATATTACAACCGTTTTTAAAAGCTTTTATTTAACTTATATATATATATATATATATATATATATATATATATATATATATATATATATATATATATATATATATATATATATATTCAAGGTTTGAATAATCATTCTCCATTTTCATGCAACTTTTCTAATATGGAGGTTATCAAAGAAAAAATGGACGGATTGATAAGTACATTGACTTTTAAATGTCAAATGTGGAATATTGAAAAGGAGATAGCAACATAGGATTCTGGTAACAATTCACTGAACTTGAATGGTTCTGGTTATTCAGACATACAGCAGCAGCACGCTGCATTAAATATACCTGTGATTTCCTACAGGCAGTATGCAAAACATACGGAAACAGTTGCAGATATCATCGGCCAAACACTTTGTGATTCCTTAGAAGAGGCTGGACGGGAGGAATTAGCTTTAGCCAAAGAAATTGGTGAAGTAGATTCCGACGGAAATGGGTTAATAACCGTTATAGCTGATGGTGCTTGGTCAAAAAGATCGTATAAAGTAAACTACGATGCTTCTTCAGGTGTAGTACCTGACGTTGTAAAATTTATTAGTACGCCTTTGATGGATAGGACATGTAATTAGGCGAGATGAAGATGAAACGATCAGAAAAATTTTCGACCGAAGAGGACCAGTGGGAAGACGATCCAGAGGAAGACCAAAACTTAGGTATCAAGATAACACAGAGGATGATCTAAAATCCATCGGAGTTAAAGCATGGAGAAAGTTGCCAGAGGCAGGGGCGAATGGAAGATTGTTCTGAAGAAGCCTTTGGCTCATGACGAGCTGTAATACCACTGATATGATGAAATAACTATCCACGATTTGTGTTTTATTCATCAATTGGATACTTTTCTTATGTAACTGCAACCTATAAATATATTAAAATAATGTATATTCCATTCAGAGAACATTTTCCTCGCAGTGCGTCGCCTCGAAATACTTGCCAGATAAATACATTTACTATTATGATGGTTTCGCAGGTACCAATTTTTTATAGATAAATAAAAATATTTTTTGTTTAATTTTTACTACGCTAATATCAGTTTTCTCTAACAAATATTAACAAAATATTAATTATATATTAATATTAATATAACAAAATTTAAATTTATTATAAATAAACACTATGGTGTTTTTTGCAGTCACGTTTCACAAATTTTTATTTAATACTATGTTTAGCTAAGACATATAAATTAAAAATGTGATTAATTCTTTTTAAAACATTATCTACGATAATTAATCTAAAAAAAAGTATTCCGACAAAACTAATTTGAATGGAGAATAATGCATTTATTTTAAACAACCCGTGGGCCGGCGCCACTGAATAAACATCCAAACTATTAGGAGGTCACGTAGGGTCTGACATAGCAGTGTAGAAAAGTAAGTGATACGCCCACTTCAAATCGCAGTATGCTATAACTGCGAAAACAGCCTTAAGTTATTTTAAATTTATTACAAATAAACACCATGGTGTTTTTTGCAGTCACGTTTCACAAATTTTTATTCAATACTATGTTTAGCTAAGACATATAAATTAAAAATGTGATTAATTCTTTTTAAAACA